AGTGCTTGAATAACTTTAATAAACAAAGTATGAAGTGTAAGCTCAAAGATTTTTGGCAGTGTGGAATGCTTGTGATCTAGGTATACTTTTTGACAGTGTGTTGTGTCCTATGTTTTGGCCAGTGTGCTATGTTGCACAATTTTACATAATGTTGCAGTGTATGCTGCTTACAAAGTCTTAAAATTTACAACATAATACCTTCATTATCCGTTTCTTTTCACTACCACATAAATGAAATTCAACATATGTCTAATACTAACATCTTCTAACATTATTCAAAATCAAGAAAGATCAAAAAAAGCCAAGCCCATGTTTGGCCAGTGTGTTTTGGTATAATAGATTATTCATGAAATCAGTCATACATTTTTGGGCAGTGTGAAATTCATAAATGAAAACAATCATATACATTTTTGGCAGTGTAGAATTCATACATGAAAATAGTGTGGAATTCATACATAAAAAGAGCTATACATTTTTTGGGTAGTGTGGAATTCATAGATGAAATTAGTCATACATTTTTTGACAGTGTAGAATTAATACGTGAATCGGGGTGGGGGGTTTAGGGGGAGGGTTAGGGGGGCAGGAACTGTCATTTTTACAAACGAAACACCGTAGGTACCCCAAACGAATTGGTGTAAGCAACTGGTGTATAAGTAACTTGTGTCATTTTAGACACTTCCTACTTATATTGATTTAAAAATAACTTCATTCATATGTCGTAAACCGAATGGGAGCTTTATTTTGAGACGGAGGGATTACTTCACAACCTTCACAATTCCAACACTGATAAACTCGCATATTCACAATTCGTATTGCTCTTGAAGCTAGTCTCTTGCTTGGATGGATGATGACAATGAAAAAACAATGTCATCAATGATCACAAAAGAAGAAGTTACATCTCCTGAATCGATTCTAATAGGGACACACATTGTTACTTGTCATTGTCTCTTCAAAAAATTGTGGCCGTGATTGAGGCGGAGGCCAAGGCAGGTCACTACTTGGCCGAGGGAATAAACTTCCCCGTGGTAGTACTGGTCGAGGTCACTCTGATCGTAACTTTTATATATACCAAATCTATGATAAACATGGTCATTCTGTGTTTCCATATTGGTATTAGGGCAACTCATGCGATCCTGATGGGCCAAGGAGCTTAATTCACCTAGCGGGGAAAAATCTTAGGGGTTTGAAAAAAATGATGCAACAAAAACGTTGTATTTCTAAGTGAAGGTAAATAAATACTTGTGTTAACACAAAATTAAAAAAATAATCTCAAAATGATTTATAGTATTATCCATGTCAATAAGATGCATCTTCTTTTCGAGATCTCGTCACTTAGAAACTCTGAGGTTAAGCATGCTAGACTTGGAGCAATTATATGATGGATGGGCCTCTCTAAAATTTCCTAGGCGCACACGAGTGATGAGAAAATGTGCGGGAAATATTTGTGTTGATTTGTGAGACCAGTCTGCAATCTTATGAACATACACTAGCTTGCAGGGTCGGAGCCGAGGTGTTAGAGTGTGAGAGCAACCTGTGTGGGTTTCATGAGGGTATAGCTAGGATATATAGCCCGTGAGCACCGAGCTTTAGCGGACCCTGTGAACATAGAGCTCAAGTATATAGCTTGTGAAAATGGAGCTTAGATGGATCTTGCTATTTTGTGGGTCTAGTTTAACTTTCATAAAATTCATTTTAAAAAATAAAATAATAAAAACATAAGGGAGAATTCTTTTGAAATATTTTTTTTTGAAAAAATAGAATAAAATAAGTGAAAAGTATACTACCTACGTCCCAAATGATTTGTCCCAAATTGACTTATAATCACAAATTAAATAGTATAAATTTAAATACTATAAATAAAAATTTGATTATGATAATTTATATTATTTTAATTTTAAATTTTTACTACCTCCATCCAAAAAAATCATATTATAATTAAAAATATTCTTTTACACTTTATGATTAAATCAGTATAAAAATTAAACTAGGATAATTGCGTAATTGGCAAGTCAAGGAGTGCCAATAGGGTAAGATCCGAGTTCGATTCCTAGCAACTGCATTCGGAGGCAACTATGCTAAGCATAGACCCTCTGCAAGTACCACGTGCAGGCTCTACACTTTGCCAGCAATTTATGATTAAAATCCAATTTATATCTTCTCAGTGACCGTCCGACCAGATCTAAGGAGAACCTTTGGGTTTGGGCTCACTAGCATCACTCCCGTGCGTTGCACGGGTCATACTTATATTACTAAATTAAGATCATTTCTGAAGGATACAATTTCTTATCTAATACTCCCTCCGTTTCTGAAATATCTCCCCCATTCATTTTTTCTTTATCCCACAAAGTCCTTCCTTTTTCTATTAAAAAACTACTTTTGCTCCTTACTTTTTCATACCCTAGCTATCACATCATACTTTTTTACTAATAATCTATCTATCACATCTTACTTTTATCAATCACATCAAGGGTATTTTTGGAAATTCAACACCAAAATATCCCTCCCTTAATTTTCCAAAAAGTCAATAAGGAAACTTTTTTCGGAACGGAGGGAGTAGAATATAAATATTTTATTATTTTAAGGTATAAAAGTTAATTGCTTTACAAATAACGAAAGACTTTTTTATAAACTACATTACTCGTATAATTTTTATATATCAAGCTTTTAAAAATTTATTTATTTAAAGACTTCTTCATGATTTTCTACTCCGAAAGCATGAATCTTATTTAAGAACTCAAGGGAATGTAAGTCATTCAAAATATCGTATTTTTCTATTTCCATGCATCTAATTTTTTCAGGGTAAGTTATTAATTAGTGGTTGATTGTTCAACATATAAAGGTATATATTATTCAATATGTTTCCATGTATTAAAGGCACACCTCTTAAAATGATATCTCCATAAATCGTTTGGGCCTGGATCTCTAAATGGAAATATTATTTAATTGAAAGCTTATTTGGTTAGAATTATTACACGATAATAATAACTAAGTAAGATAATATTATTACACAGTATATTATTATTATTATTATTATTATTATTATTATTATTATTATTATTCTTTCATGACAATAAATTAATAATGATTAAATACATTAATATTATTGCACAATATATTAGTATTATTATTTTTTCTACACGGTAATACATAATTTATTCTTGCTACAAAGTAATTTATGATTTAATTACTATTTCTATATTCAACACTTAACATATGTGCCACCATTTCTATATATTACCTTGACATTTTTTTATATTTAATTTCTTTTATTATTTTTTATTTTGATTTTTTTAATTGTGCCTTCCTTAAATGCATAAACTTATAAATCTAAATTTCTTCATAAAATATTTGGCACCGAATCTCTAAATGGAAACATAATTAAATTGAAAGCTTATTTTTTAATAAAATGGTTTGTATGATTAAAATAGTTTGTTTCTTAATTGGAAATTATATAAATTACGAAACTGTAAATTTAATGCATCGATTAAAAAATTTACACCTTAACGTGATTATTACCTTTTATGGACAAATATTATTTTTAGTTGAATGGTAATCATTTTTTTTATTATATCAATTCCAATTTCATAAAAAAGTTCGGTATTAGAAAAGAAGTTTTTATAAATAATATTTTTTATATTTTGTTTCCTTTTTAGAAATATATTAGGCATGCAAAATTTCCTTTAATTTATCATTCTAAATAAGAATAGAGTAATTAAGTAATTAGGCATGTGAAATTATTCTAAAAAGGAAACAATGTAGATCTTGTTTGCGAAATTAGTCCCTTGCTTTTTTATCAGAATTAAGTAATTATGCATCCGAAATTTCCTTTAATTTATCATTATATTATTCTTAAAAGTATTTTCTTTTAAGAATAGAGTGATTAAGTATATAATTACCTATTTAATTAGGAATAAATAATTACTTTTTGATAAAATAATCAGGTGTAAATTATTCCAAGTAATTATAATAATAATAGTAATAATTAGGCGTAAATAATTACCTATTTAAAAAGGAGACAAAATATAAAAAATCTCCCTGTCCCTTCCTATTTTCTTATGGGTAGCTTTCCTATTTTCGTAAAAGGAAACGAAATAAATATATGAATTATTGCAAAATAAGTATAATTGGTAGCTTTCCTTTTTTCCTCCAAATGAATAATAAATATATGAATTTTATACTGTGTATTTATTTAATATATGCACGGGATTTCCTTTTTTGTAATCACTTAATTCCTTAAATACCTTTCTTGTGTTTCCTCTTTTAAGAATACGGTACTTATGCATTCTTACAATATTGTATAAATGTGTTTCCAAATAATTAATACTTTTTTCATTACAAATTATTAATTATTTTCATTTTTTTCGTTACAAATTATTAACTACTCCTATTTTTTACCAAGGCATCTAACACGTTAAATCTAAATTATTAATAATTTCCGTTTTATACTTTTATTTATTAAATATACTCGGATTCTTTTTTTTAATCTAACCAATCATTTCCTTGGGAATAAATTAATTTTTTCCGTTACAATTATTATTAATTAGTAATTTATAATAAATAAATATACGAATTATTGCAAAATAAATATAATTGGTAGATTTCCTCTTTTCCTCCAAATCAATAATAAATATACGAATTTTATACTGTGTATTTATTTAATATATGCATGGGATTTCCTTTTTTGTAATCATTTAATTCCTTAAATACCTTTCTTTTGTTTCCCTTTTTAAGAATATGGTACTTATGCATTCCAAAAAATGAAACTATCTAATTATAATAATGTATACATGTGTTTCCTTTTAAAGTCTTTTTATGCGATATATATTTAATACGTATGAATTATCTTACAATATTGTATAAATGTGTTTCCAAATAATTAATACTTTTTTTCGTTACAAATTATTAATTATTTTTATTTTTTTCATTGCAAATTACGGAGTATTAATTATTTTTTACCAAGACATCTAACACGTTAAATATAAATTATTAATAATTTTCGTGGGAATAAATTAAGTTTTTATGTTACAATTATTATTAATTAGTAATTTAGATATAAAATTGTGTAATTATGTTAATATCGTATATAAATGTGATTCCTTTTAAAGCCTTTTTTTGTTGTACTTATTTAATACTTATTTCCTTTTTTTCTCCTTTTCATCCGCAGTAAATATGGGCCGTAGATGCATAGATTGGCAAATATAAATGGCTCATAAGGCTTGGCAAATGGGCGGGAAAAAGCATGAGACATAATTCCCTTGCTTTTAATAATAGGTTGATTATATTCCTTTTTTTGTTTAATGCATTTACTCACCTCAGATATAAATTGCGGTTATTCTTTAACGTTGGTGCGACACCCAAATACCCAATCAACCGAGATGAGAGGAAGCCGTCATCCAACGACTGGTCACAGAAATAGATTCCAGCAACTTTACTGTGCTATCCCAAACACGCAGCCGACCTGGATATCATCTTTGAACTCTTGAGGCTCTAATTCTTGTTCGAAATCTGAATTTTGAGGTATTTGCTGCTTCTTCTGCTATTACATGTTTTTATGCCGCATTTGATTACAAAATCTCGCAATTTTTAATTAATTGCGGAGTATTAGATTTGGAGTGTTTTATTTTGCAATTATTTAATCTTGGGATGACCATTTTCATGCCATTTTGAACCCTAATTTTCGGAGCACGTATGGATGTGCTGTATTTCCGCATATCCGTATGAATATTCATTGTTTAGTAAGTCAATACTCATTTGCGACTAACAAAATAATCTTTTTCGAGCATAACTGAATTTTAGAGAAATGAGTACTCAGTTATTCAAGAATGAGTATTCACTTGTTCGAAAATGAATATTCAATACTTGTAAATGAGCACTCGCTGTGGATGTACGGGATTATGATAGATTGTGCGCTCAAAATATGCGCTATCGCTGCTTAAGCTTCAATCGTGGATTATATTTTCTACTTCGTATGTTCTCTTGCATATCGCACAGTAGAGATGTTTGCAAAGGTTTCTATTGCTCACAGATAGACCTAGAAAAACAGAACCGGAACCGATTACCTAAACCGAAATATCTGAAACTGAAACCGAAATGACCTGAAAAATGAAGATCCGATCTATAACCGGAAACCCGAAATGATCCGAATCGAACCGAAACCGAACTAAATAATTCATATCCGATTTAAATCCGAAACCGATTAGATTCGAAATTGATAATATCCGAACCGATTAAACCCGAAACCGATAATACCCGAAACCGATAAACCCGAAACCGATTAGCTCCGAAACCGATTATATCCGAAACCGGTTAGAACCTACATCGATAAATTTGGAACTATGTTTTCCTTTCAATAAGCATATTATATTTTTAAATTTTTACTTTTATTTTACCATTTGAACTAATTACATTACTTGCTCATTCCCTCATAAAATGGATTATCTTCTTGAAAAAAAGTACAAAATTTCATGCCTTAAATTTATTATATGTAGAAATTAAAGATAAGTTATACATATAAATGATAACGCACAAAAAAATAAAATTTCCGTAATTTTTAAATAGTGAAGTGTGATATTCCTTTTGAGACGAGAGAATTATATGATGAATTGTATGGAATAACTAGATTTTTTCATGATTTCATCCCATTATAATAAATTTTATTGATTTGAGAGTTAATTTGATTAGTTTCAAACCAATTCACTCAATATTAGTCAATAAAATTAGATGCTAGTGTTAGCATTTTGAAAAGACTCTCTAGCGACAGCATTTAGTGTTATCATTTTCAAATTTGATCTTCAGCATTACATTTAAGTGTAAAATTAATTATATTTGACTCTATTAAATTTTATTTAATCTATTTTCAACAAAATACACACAATAATTTATAAATTTTGCACTCAATTGAATAAAATTCACTTAATTTCACCCAATTTTACTCAATTTTTTACCAAATTATATTCAAGTGGAACATAACACTATTTTGAATATTTCTCTTATCTTTTCATTTATAAACATAAGTATATTAGTAGTTGTGAGAAAAGTTTGATATTTCAAAACTAAATTTTAAAATCAATTTAATTATATTAAATTTATATCATAATTAAATATATATGTTTTCACAATTTATAGTCCAAATTTGTAAAATATGACTAAAAAGTCAAAAAGGGAAGATTATTTAGGTTAGAGATAATATAAATAGAAACAACAAACAACAACAACCCAGTTAAATCCCACAAGAGTAGGGTCTGGGGAGGGTGTGTGTACGCAGACCTTGCCCCTACTCGAAAGTAGAGAGACTGTTTCCAAAGAGACCCCCGGCTCAACGTCGAAAGTTGCATTGCTTGACTAACTGCTACTTCATTAATTAAAGAAGCGCAGACAGTTTAGAGATCCATTTTGATTTATTCCATCACACCCCAAAGCCAAAAAATGGTGAAATTTTGGCTCCATCGGAGATGATGGAACGAATATAATTAGAAAAATATATAAAATAATATGAGGTATTGAATTGATAATAGATAAATGTGATAAAACATAAAAAGAAATATGGATAGTTAAATTTCAATTAGAAAATAATATATATCCAAAATATATTTGATCCGAAACCGAAATATATCCGAATCGAACTAGACCCGAAACCGAAATATATCCGACTCAAATTGTATCTGAACCGAAATCTATCCGAACCGATTTATAACCGAACCGTATCTGAACCGATTCGAAACCGAATTGAACCGAAAAATGTATCGAACCGAATCAAATCCGAACCGAAATTTAACCGATCTGATCCGAACCGAACCGATTATAACATATAACCGAAAGATATCCGAACCGAAAAAATCCAACCCGAAACCGATCCGGTTGATTCGATTGCCACCTCTACTCACAGAGTATTAGTTTGCCTAACCAAAACAAATCTGATTGATACAGCACAAGGGAGAGCCACACCCTAAAAGCTAGCTGTTAAGGTGGGAGAACCCTTGGCTATATAAACCCATCACCAAGTTCCCCATTTAACCGGTGTGGGACAATGAAATCAGTTCGTATCATTCGACCCCCCATAAGGTCCAACGTCCTCGTTGGTCACGGCTACGTTGGTCACGGCCACGTTGGTCACGGCTGGTTTCACCAAGCCACCACTCCGTAGGCCACCACTCCGAGTTGGCTTTGATACCATTGATACAGCACAAGGGAGAGCCACACCCTAAAAGCTAGCTGTTAAGGTGGGAGAACCCTTGGCTATATATATAAACCCATCACCAAGTTCCCCATTTAACCTGTGTGGGACAATGAAATCAGTCCGTATCACTGATATGGCCTCCTTACCCGACTACTGCTTAGATCTTATCCCATAATACCTTTTAGGCAACTGCATCTAATTCGGCAATAGAAATCAATTCATCATCCTTCAATTTTGACAAAAACAAGAAAGTCGAGAATAAACATCATAAAGATCCTAAACTATACTCCAAATAGGCGAATACAATATAAAGAATATCTAATGACTATACATATAATTTTAAAACACTGCTTGTTTGGTGAGTTTTGGAGATATGATATGGATGTTGGAATCTGGGAGAAATAATATGGGTTTTGCCTGAGATTCAAAGAGATTTAAAATCATTATTTAACTAGTGATCGACAGAGGTCGCCGGCAACATGGGTGGTTGGCGGTAGCAGTGGTAACGGGGGGTTGATGGAGATATCAAATTCCCACATTGATATCTCCCAAATTCGAGAGATATCGAAACCCTTCATTTGGAAGATTTGTGATATATGGAGATATCAAATTTGAATTCTCTGGATTCCTCACCAAACACAAAAAAAGAAAGAGAGATATGGCATATCTCATACACTCACCAAATGGGCCCTTACTCTTCTTGTCCATATCAAGCCTCGGTTTATCAAGCCAAAATCATCATCTCTTCATCTTAATACCTATCAAATTCAGTGGCAAATCTTTTCATCTTCATTTTAACTTGATCACTTGTAAAATTCATTAGCTTTAAGCTTCCTCTGCCAAAGATGGCATATCTATAACGGAACCAAAATTGTCCACTCTTTCAGAAACTAGGGAAGGATAAATTATTCTGTAATGAACAACAAAATATAGGCAGCCCCTTTACTATTTTAGTTAATACCTCTCTTTTATCTTGCTCATACTAAAATACAAAGTTGAATACCCAAGAACTTCAAACTCGAATAAAAAATTACACTCAAATACTCCCTTTGTCCCTACTCCCTCTAGGTTCTTCCCACTTTTATTTTTGGGTCGTCCTGTTTTTTCTTCTCACTTGCATAATTTGGCACTAAAAAAATTATACAATCTTTCTTCTTTTTTCTTCATTCATTCATTCTTCATCATCGTCATCTTCATCATCATCTTCTTCATCATTTTCATCTTCTTCATCTTCATCATCTTCTTCTCCTTCTTCCTATCGAGAAAGTTCATCTTATTAAACACTGCTATATTTAAGAAGAGTAATCAACACTTATAGGTTGAGTTCCATCTAGTTGAAACATTAAGAGATTATGATAAGTTATACTCTATTTTACATTGACTACTTCATTAAAAACATTCCTGGCTAGAGAACCTTTGACATATTTGACAACATATCGAACTTTTAATGCACTCACCATTAAAAAATCAACCCATCCCAAATAATCAAAATTCATGATATGAGCAATACATCTCATATGAATATAATACTGTAATTATTTCGATACTTTTCATTTTTTTTCATTTCCTTCCAGTTTTTTTTAACTTCTTTGAGTTTCTTCTAACTCCTTCCGGTTTTTCAACCACTTCTAGTTTTTTCTAATTTCTTCTAGTTTCTTCTAACTCTTTCCAATTTTTCCAACTTATTCCGATTTCTTCCAACATTTAACTTTGTTTTTACAACCCAAACGAATAGAGTCTAAGTACTTGAGACATAACAAATCAGAAAATTTTACAAAAAATTATACTACGGTACAAAATTAGTACTTTTGATTCGGCCTAGATTTTTCCAGACTAGTATAAAGCCGGAAAGAATTGGATAGAGAGGACACATGAGGTGACAGTGCTAGGATCAATCGAAGAGAATTTGGATTCCCCATCTCCAGACTCCTATTACGTATTCTTTAGGTGCGATTTCTTGGATTTATTCTTCTTGTTTGGAATAATTGAATGTCTTGAATGCTAATATAATTTTTTTATTCCTTCATTGAATGTTCATTCATTTTGTTTGGTGAGTAGTGAAGTAGTGATGCATGATCCTCCTAATGGCGTCGGCTCTGTGTCCTCTACTCTCCAATTCTCTCCGGCTCCTGCCTGCTATCCAATTCACTCCAATAAGTTAGATTATTTGATATATGTTCATTTTTATTATCATTTGCTATTCAAAAATTAGCTGCAAAGTATAGGTATAACGTATACCTATTGGACTCACAAATTAAACTTTAAAGACAAAAATATCAAAATATACTTCATATCACTGCTTTAAAACGAATATCGAGTTTAAATTTCAATTTTTTATTCATAAATCAACTCACATACTCAGAGTGTAGGTATATGCAGGTCTTTAATCAATTCTTATGCTCAGATCAACAAAAGCTAAAAAGTAAAAATCATACTATCTCCATTTTGGTTTGGTCTAGATTTTTCTGGTCCAGTATTAAACGAAATAGTTTTGGTCCGGTCATCCTTTTTTCTCTCTCTCTCATTTTTGGCCTAGTCTTGGAGTGAAGAACAGCTCTAGGCCCACAACATCGTTTCCCAGTGTACATCAAACTGTGGAGCATGTAGAATGTGTTTTTCTATTGGGTTTTTGTATTGGGTTTTATTTGGTACATCAAACTTCTTTGGTTCCCTACTAATGGGGTTGATATGAAAATGTCTTGTTTGAGTCAAATTTGCGATGGGCATCTTATGCTTTTTGCAAAGCTTTGACTTAAGGGGTACTATACAGTATTGTCACTCCAAAATAGCGGAGAGCAACTGCTTTCCCTGAAAACGCTACCACTATTTTTGGTTCAAGGACATAGATAGGGAAAAGAAAAGAAAATGATATAGGAAATGATTTTTCTTGTTTTGTTAGAGAGGAAAAAGAAAAGGAAAGTGAGAGAGAAAGAAAATGAGAGGAGAAAATAAACTAAGAAGAGGGAAAACAGGGTTGCTTCCATTTCAGTGAGGAAAAGGAAAGAAACCCCTTTCTTTTCCTTTTCTTTCGAATTCTACTAACCAGTCATAGTTTACAGTGCATAATGGAGTAGCAGGTCGACCACTATTCAAACTTTTTTTTATACAGATGATATAGTTATATGAAATTAAAAAAATGTAAACATACTCTTTCGCAACTTGGCTGAGATTACCAGAGACAACAGGTTGTCTGAGATGTGTAGCTGGAGGTTGGAAGGCGACGGTAACGGTTCATCAAAGACTTGCAATGCCGTTGTCCAGAGGCTTATTGCGAGAGAAAAGTGAAGTCTTGTTGGAATTAAAACAAAGGGTTGAGGTTGGTTTAAAGGTCTGTTTATTATTCAAAAAAGCCAAAAAGTCCCCTCAAACTACCCCCTGAACACAAAAATGAATCCCCCCCTCCAAACCCTTAAACGTACCCAAGTTATTTAATGTAGGGAAAGAAATAATAGCTACGGCGCTATCTCAGCTGACTCGCTACTGCTCTCCTTGTTGCCACAATAGCCATCCACCCTGCTGTGTAGAACTCTGTAGCAGCCAAATGTCACTCTGCTATACTGCTACCAGTTCATGGATGCCACCTAATCGGCATTCCACCTAGTGGCGACTTCGAGCTTGTTTTTTTCATCGGATCTGATTGGATTTGATTTTATTAATGTCTAGGTCTGATATGGTTGTAAATATATTTAAAGATGTTTCTGATATGATCTGATTCCAATCAGAATAAGTAATAAGTTATAAGAATAAGTTGAACTCTTGAAGAGAGCAAGTTCTTCGTTTGTGGTGAATACCACCACCAACGTGCTTTACTCTGATGTTAGGATTTTGATTAATGTGTCTCTCAGTATTGGCTGTTCAGAATTTATTTGATGTGTTCAAAATATCCAGTCGGGGTGTATGTAACTTTAAAAAAATCTCAAATACCAACTCTTTCATTGCAGAAGAAATCATGGCTTTCTTGGCAACAACCGAAGTTTGTGATTCTAATGCAGCATATCTTGCGAGTGGTGACTTGCGGGTCCTGCATCCCAATTTCCAGATCTTCGGGCAATGCCGTGCATTTTCTGGCCCCATTGTTACTCTAAAGGTGTTTGAGGACAATGTGTTAGTGAGGGAGATTCTTGAGACCAGAGGCGAAGGCCGAATCTTGGTGATAGACGGCGGTGGAAGCATGAGATGTGCCTTGGTCGGAGGGAATTTGGTGCAGCTAGCTCAGAATATGGGCTGGGCTGGCATTATCGTCAACGGTTGCATTAGAGATGTAGATGAGATCAACGGGTGTGACATTGGGGTCAGAGCTCTGGCAACACACCCCCAGAAACCCAACAAGAAGGGCATGGGTGATAAACATGTTCCTGTGTATGTTTCCGGAACCTTAATCCGTGACGGGGAATGGTTGTACGCAGATAGCGATGGGGTCCTCATTTCTAGAACTGAGCTCTCCATCTGATTGAGTGAGTCGGCTAAGCTCCTCCACTTAGGCTGTGTTTGGGTTCTTGGAATGCGCAGGTTTGAACCTTATGCTTTGGATCATTTACTCTCCAAATGATTTGCTTTACATCCAACATGTGAGTTTGAAACATGGTTGTGCATAGTTTTGCTTTGTTTATATAGTGGTGAAACATGAACTGCTGAAATCAATATTTAGATAACCTCAATTGTTGGTTTTGTTTATAATGCTTCGAGAGGGAGATGCACTACAGTGCATTTGAAAAAACATCTAAAAATATAAAGCTATAAACAAACCCCGCTTGCCTATCAGACAACTTGAAGAATCCCAACTTCATGGTACAACATGTTGGGGATTAAACACGCAACACACACAAAAATCTGCGAGAATCAAGAGAGAAACGGAACACAAACGACACAGAAGAATTTAACGTGGTTCGGTTTCCCTAATCCACGGCTGCAACGGGAGGATTTTCTTATTTCACTTGTGGTGTAGATTACAAGTACAAGAATGCAATATATATATATATATAGGAAGAGTGCATCTAGGGTTTCGTAAAATGGGCCGGGCCAAAAGTCAAGCCCAAGCCTCCACAAACCCAACATTCTCCCACTTGGAGGCTTGATAGCCATCAACTGCCATCCACCACGATTCCCTGTACATCGAGTAATCTTCCTCAGCTCTCCTATTGCAGCGGCCCTAACATCAGACAAACTGAAAGGCCCGTTGAAGCTCTCCCAAGCTCCAACACATCAGTCACGGCAAAATCTGCCCCTGACTCGTCCTCGGTCCCTACCGGCTCCCACTGCAGACGCACACTGCCGGATCCTGGAACATCTTGAGAACAAACACTCTCCATACTCAGCAAGAAATTTTCTGGAGATGTTCCAACAGCTGGAATACTAGTTCTCCTGACCCACTGTCTTCTAGGCAACTTGGCTGAAGCGCCTCTTGAGCTCCCACTGCCACAAATACCTCTAACTGGCCTCCTTGAACCTTTCCACGCTCGTTCATCCTGAGTCTGACCAGTGGCTCTAAGTTTCTCTCTTGCACAGACAACCTTATTCTGCCCACGAGACTCTGTGAACCGGACTTTGTTTTTCTTCTGAACTGGGACGGTCACTCCCTCAGATGGTAACTCGACCATATACAGCGAACCACTCTTTCTTCCGCGGGCCATGACAAGATTTCCCTTCACGACCTTCCACTGCCCATCTCTGAACTTCACCTCGTGTCCCTGTTCGTCCAACTGCCTGACAGAAATCAAACTTTTCTTCAAGGCTGGAACCACTCTGACATCCTTCAAAGTCCATAGACCGACTGAGGTCTTCAACACCATGTCACCCATGCCCGTCACATCAAGAGCTCTGTCGTCCGCTAGTCGTACCTTTCCAAAGTCTCCAAAAACTAGATTCTGCAATGCTTCATTGCTGTGGGTAGCATGAAATGAAGCACCAGAATCCATGACCCAGGAATACACATTGTTTTCCTCACAGCAAGTCAGAGCGACCTCCTCGTCACTCGTAGAGCCTTGAGCAATGTTTACTTTCTTATCATTCGGACATTGATTCCTAAAATGCCCTACCTCCTTGCATTTCCAGCACGTTACACCTGAGCTGTCACGAGTCTTCGACTGACTCCTTTGTCTGTTCTTGCTCCCACTACCTCTGCTATTTCTTCTGCCTCTACCAACATGAAGTAATTCACCAGATGATTCCCCTGAATTCTTTCTTCTGACATCCTCGCCAAGAACGAGATCTCGAATCTGATCAAAGGTGAATCCATCAGGCCCCACTGAACCGGTAACCGCTGTAACCGTTCCGGACCAACTATCAGGTAAAGACGATAGCAGTAGTAAAGCTTGAACTTCATCATCGAACTTAATGCCCACTGACGCAAGTCTGGCTAAGATCGAATTCAACTTGTTGATATGCTCGGTAACTAAAGTGCCTTCTCTCATCCTTGTGTTCACCAGCTCTCTAATCAGAAAAACTTTATTCGCTGCAGATGGCTTCTCGTACATGTTAGACAACGCGTCCATAATTCCCTTCGCTGTCTTCTCCTTCAGAATGTTGAACGCAACATTCTTGGTCAACGAGAGACGGATCACGGACATTGCTTTCCGATCCAAAACTGCCCAATCTGCATCCGACATTTTTTCTGGCTTGTCACCCAAAACCACATCCAAATCTTTCTGAACCAGCAAATCTTCAATTTGCATCTTCCACCAACTGAAATCTGTACCATCGAACTTCTCAATTCGGAACTTCCCATCTTCTGTCATCTCAAACGACTAGACGAGATACCCGGTACAACTAATTTCAGATCTTGGTTTTTTTTTCGTCAGAAAAATAGGAACAAGACCACTTCTCACCAATTCCAAATCAAACAGGCCCAAATTAAAAACACACGCCCAAGGGGAAAAAGACAAGTGGGATGGACAAAGGATGACGGCCCAACCCTTTTTTTCCTTTTTTTTTCTTTTCTTGGATGTTCAATCACTTCCTTCGGCCCACCTTTTTTTCTCCTGTCCTGGTGTTGTGCGCGACGGCCGCAGGTGCAAAATGGATCTCCAGCGAACTACTTCGACGACGGCGGCGGCTTGGCCAACGAAACGGCGCGGCGGTGGTGACTCTCGCTGGAGACGGAGACGGATCTGCCTACTGCGCGAAGACTGCAGCGGCGCGGTCCAGTTCTCCACTCAAGCGGCGACTCTCTCTCGCTCCTGCCGCGTTCAGTTTTCCAGCGGCGGCGATCTGATCTGACGGCGGCGGCGAGATCTGAAACGGCGCAACTTCGCGGCGGCTCCTCAACCTGGCGGCGGGAGGATTTTTTTATTTCACTTGTGGTGTAGATTACAAGTACAAGAATCCAATATATATATATAGGAAGAGTGCATCTAGGGTTTCGTAAAATGGGTCGGGCCAAAAGTCAAGCCCAAGCCTCCACAAACCCAACACAACACATCATTCAGAAGATGAATCGAAACAAGCAGACCATCCTCAGTTTTGGCCCACAAATTGTAATTTTAGTTAGTTTTTAGTCCATTGATTAGACTTTAAGAAATAACCTTTTGATCTGGCTTTGCAGCAGCCAAAATCTATCTTTGAGCGAGCGACCTAGTTTATTTTTTCGTTTTTGTGGGTCTATATAACATACAGACTAAAATATAGTACTCTGTAATACTTCGTATACAAAAGTCGGAGAAACTCATTTCCAAAATTCCTGCCCAAATGACTACATGCAGATCTTTGGAAGAATAGACCGATAGAGTTGACTTGATCCACCATTGGGCAAAGAGTGTATGCGCATTTGGGATTTGCGATTTGACTGTAGGATCGAAAAATTTCACCCGAGCGGTGTCGTAGGCTCTGGTTTATCATAATCAAATGCGTAGGGAATGACTTCTGAGTCATAGATAGTGATTATTGATTAAGGGAAGATCATATTCTAGGATAGACTATTAGGTTTTTTGTTAATGTGAACTTTAAGTGATGAAGTAGACTATCTTTTATAAGTACTGATATATTGTGGATTATCAAGAAGTACTCCCTCCGTTTAGAAATGTTCTTCCCGTTTGACTTTTCACGGTCTCCAATGTTGCTCCAGGAGAGTTAGGAGGTAGTAACCATGAATTTTTTGATCGAAACACCGCCGGTATCCCGGGTTATGCTATGACATTGAGAGCCAATGTCACATGAACCGGGGTGTAAATACCGACTTCAAACGTTATTGTACAATTTATTGTCATTGTTGAGCGTGTAGTTTGTTTATTTTCCTAACACGAAGTAGGAATTATGTGGCTTAGTTCGGAAGACAATGAGACGGTAAGATTACTAAGTTGTCCTGCATGATTTTTCACAAAAGGGGTATTCCATACTTCTATGGTTTTGTTTTATTTCGAGCTTGACTCAAGGTTCTACTGTAATTTCCCTTTCGTTTTTTGCTGAAGCTATACTACGTGTTTTTGTAAAGGATTGATCTGGAATAATAAAGTTTTGGCACTTGATGCCTTTTTGTTATTCTATTGTGTTCCATAAATTTGGGAAATGTTTTCAAAAGTTTGTCCCATTTCACCGTAATCCGTAAAATTCTGGGTTAGACGGGTTAGGTGTTACACTTTTTAGCCCCTTTAGCAATAACTTGAGCGTTTAGTTTTCACATTTTCGAAATTCTCCGTCTATATCTTTTTAATTGTCCGGTTCGCTTTTCGAACCTAATTTTTGACTAATACTATCTCGAAAAAATATATTAGAAGAAAATTATTAAAAATAATATACTAAAAGTATTTTTTGATATAGTTGTCAAACGTTTGAGACGTAAAGGGATTTGTACACTTAAAAAGGATCGCAGCGAGTAATTATCTAAGAGTAGCGTTTAATTTTAGTAATTTTAAGTTAATTTATATCCTTAGAAATTTATCTAAAACGCTAATGCTAGTTTAAAATATTGTTAATAGAAAAGGTCTTTGTTAAAGTTCATCAATCCAAAAAAAATATTCTAGTTTGATTTGTTGGTTAAACATTAGAAATTTGACATAATTACATTCATTTTAAGATGCAGTTTTATTATATCAAATTTTATACTTGTAACATTTACTCCATATTCATTTAAAATTATAATGATTAATTGTCAAAGTATATACTGTAATAGTTTGACCATAAAAATGAAACTATACAAAATTATCCATGAAGGAATTACTTCCGTTTTTAGTTTATAGAAGGTTGTGTTCTTATGATTTGAATTTATTCAGTCTTGATCTGGTCTGCTATGAACTTATATAATCTGATTTGAATGTAGTGTAAGTTAAAGTTATGGCTGATCTGATTCAAATAAGAATAAATAATTACAATAAAAATAATTAATAAGTTAAGAAAAAATAAGCTGGATCTAGACTTGATCTGTAATTGTTAGCATGAGCCTAATAATTTATACTCCGTATCACCAAATGCTTGAAATCAATTTCTGAATCCTAAGGGTCTGTTTGGTACGGGGAATTGATGGAATTGGATATGAATTGAGAATTGAAATTCTATGAAATTGATTTGGATGAAATTGAATTCTCCAATTCCAATTTATTTTTGGCACAGTCAATTTCAAGTTCGCATATTTTTGTGCTACCAAACATCAGAATTAGAATTATTATCTTCGATTCCAATTTCAAAGTTTGAATTTTGTGCACCAAACCGAACCTAAAAAACTTTGTTATGGAATGTCGAGAAAAAGAAAGCTATAATTTAAAGAAAATGCTAAAGAAGCACCAAGTGTGCCTCCAAGCATGCCAAGCAATATATTTAAATTTTATTTTTTTTCAATTTTCCTTTTTTCTCAGGCTTTTCGTCTCCCACGGCCAAAATTTCCAAATCTCTCTTCTCCCGCTTCAACCTCCACAAGCTCCAGAATTTGGACAACTCCAATTCAACGTCCTTCTTCTCCGTCGAGAGCATAGCAGCGCCGGCAGTGCCACTCCTCGAGCTCCAGCGCAGGTCTGCGGTTGGCCAGTCTCGAAGCCGGCATCTGCAAGGAAGTCTACGGTAGTCCAGCCCTCCAGCTCCAGCGCCGGCAGCCCCATCCCTCCAGCTCCAGCGCCGGCAGAGCTGCGTAAGCCCGAACAGGTACTGACGTTAATGTAGTTGTGGAATTGATAATGGTATGTTTGTGTTGTTGGAACACGGGTTTACATCTACGTCATACTAAACCGTGTTCGTTTTATGACAGGTTTTGATAATGCCAAACCGCCGTGACATAACAAGGTTAAAGTGAGCAAAACCAAGGCGAAGGAACATGGCATGATGATTTGAGAACCAAGAACCAAGAACGAAGACTTAGAATTGTATTGAGTCGGTCTTAATGTGATCAAGACCGGCACAAACTTTCAAACCTTGGCTCTCTAGGCTCTTTTCATCAAAATGTTTTTTTTGCATATTCAAAAATGTTTTTCTTAAGTTTTAAACATGCCTAAAAACACTTGGAGTTCGCCTAAACCAAAAACCAAGTCATCCGGCGTTCGGCTTTCAGAAACCGGCGTTCAGCTTTCGGTTTTCGGCATTGGTTTTTGGCATCCAAACCAACCAAGTGGTTTTCAACTTTTTATGATTGGTTTTTATTTCTGGGCATATTTAAACAGTTCTCCAACAAAAACGCTTCAAAAACCACCTTCCGTTTTTGGTCGTTTACTGAAAACCATGCGAAACGACACAAACTTGGTTAGCCGTGGTTTTCAACTAAATGACATGTTTTTTGAGTTGTTTTACTTGATTTCTTAGCAAAATTCAATAAACAAATGTTTTCAATACTTGGTTTTTGTTTTGGAGAACTTACGTTTTTGACATCGGCTAACGGCATGACTAAACCAACCATGGGTCTGGCTAAACCAGCCCAACAGCGATGTTGGTGCAACCAACAGCGATGTTGGTGCAACCAACAGCGCTGTCTGGCTTGGGTAGCTGAAAACCATGGTTTGGCGTTAAGTCTTCCAACAGCGATGTTACATATTAGACATCGCTGTTGAGCCAATGTTGGGTTTCCAAAAACATCTAGAACCACGATGTAGCTTTCCCTACAACGCTGTCCAACCTAAGCCAAAAATATAGTGCATTGGCAGAAAGTTTTTGGACAGCGATGTTGACCCAGACCAAAACTCCACCTTCAAAGTCAGACCTAAACAGCAATGTTCAAGTATTGAACATCGATCTAGGGACCTGACCGTTGGAAGGGATTTAAGGCTAAAACTTTCCTTGTTTGGAAGTCAACAGCCAAAACAGCGATGTAGGAGTATTAGACATCGCTGTTGGCATGACCGTTGCTTCCCAATTTTCAAAACGCAAGCCTAGGACAGCGCTGTCCAAGCCTAGGACAGCGCTGTCTGGATGTATTTCAGCAGATCCAAATTTAATCAAATCCCACAAATTGTGCCAATCACCCCTTAAATGTTTTGATCCATTGGAGCCTATTTTTCCACTATAAAATGGGGTGTTTGGGTCTGTTTTACAGATCACATTACTTCACAACTCCTATTCGTTCATTGCATATTATTCATACATTATTCATAGCTTTTCGAGAGCCATTTTTGTGAAGTTCGTGTTGTGATCTTGAGCGTATTACTTTACTCACATTCACTCTTTTGAGAGAGCCTTGTTCTTGAGTGTTCTTAGTTTTATAGACATTAAGGGAAGTTTGTTTCCCTTGGTTGTGCGAAGGAAAGGTACTTTCCTTCGGGTTGAAGTCTTGGAGTGCGGTATCTCCGAGCAAGTGTTGTTGAGGCTCGTGGGACTCGAGTTCTCAGGTTGTAACGGTTTGTTAAGCACCCGTAAGCTTAACGGAAGTAGTGTAGCTCGAGAGAG